CTCTCAGCACACCAGACCCTCTCTTCAAATTGTACATTTGTAAAGTTTGTTTGTTACATGGAAAGGCATAAGGAGGCTTTTTAGGCCCTTTAAAAAAAATCCTTTGCACAGAATAAATATTTCAGGCCTGGGCAGGATGCCAAAGCAGTAAATGGGCACACCATATTTGAGGTTTCTTTATCAGCATGTTTGTGTGTTCCTTATGCAATACATAGTGGTGGGTTTTTTTGCTGTCTTTGAAAATGGATTTGAAGAGAGATTATATTTTTTTAAAAAAACACTACATATGAATGGGTGTGGTAAAATAGCAACTTACATGACAGTTTTCTAAATCCATCCTGCACCAGAAAGTAGCCTCCTAAACTTTATCTCCTCCTTTTCTCTCAACAACTAGGAGACAAGCTGCTGGGGTCAGGATGTGGTGCTCAAAGGCACAGGCCAGGTCCAGCAAATCTTTCCCACCTATCCCTTCTCTACATGAAACCGCCCTTTCTGCCTTCCCTTTACATCTGTGGCATCAAGATATGTTCTGAAACAACAGTCTGCCACCCTCAAATCCAATTATACAGGGGAGGAAAAACGGCTCGACTTCCAGATGTTGTTAAACTGTAACCCGCACAAGCCACAGTTGGCGCAGCTAATAATGAAGGATGATAGAAGAGGCAGTACATCAACAGCTGAAAGTTCCCAGATTTCCCATTGTTCGGTTTGACCTTATGTTTTGCTTTGTGTTATGGTCTCAAGGTTTTGGGATAAGCCAGCCAGTGCTGGAGAATCAAAAATCATTAAGGAGTAGTTTTTGTGCTTCCAAATGGAACATACATTTTTCATTCTATTGTCCCTCTGAGGCCTTTCTGGAACTTGAATGGCTTGTTTTCTAATCTAATTAAGCATCTGCCCAAAGTACTTGTGTACATCCAGTATTGTTTAACATTTGCTGGCTCAGATAAAAGGTTATTGCCTTGCTTACATTATTCTGCTCTATTTTTAGTTCTAAATGGGCTTTTTCTGTTGTTTAAAATCACCAGCACCATCTGCTGAAGGAAAGCATGAAATACATATCCCCACAAGATGACCCTTTTGGCAGCTATAAGCTGGTTTCCGTACTACATTTGTTCGCTTTAGTCCAGTGGTCCCCAACCTTAGGTGTCCAGATGTTCTTGGACTTCAGCTCCCAGAAATCCTGGTCAGCAGAGGTGGTGGTGAAGGCTTCTGGGAATTGTAGACCAAGAACAACTGGCGGCCCTAGGATGGGGACCACTGCTTTAGTCTATGGCAGATTATGAGGAATTGCACAACTGTTTTCATTCCGTTTTCATCATTAATAGTAATTATACGTTGTCAAGTCAATTCTAACTTATAGCAAACCATTTCAGGGTTTCCCAGGTAGAGAGTATTCAGACATGGCTTACCATTCCCTTCATCAGGAGTTGCCCCGTCCAGATGTCCGAGACCACACAGGCTAGCTCTTCTCCCTGGAAATGCAATGGGGAGTCAAACTCCCAACCTCTGGCTCCACAGTAAGATACCTAAACCATGGAGTGATCCAGCCAGCATTTTAATCATTACCAATTTATGTTTTAAAGGGAATGGAGCTTGGGAATTTTGAGTAACCATCCACTGGGCTGAACTATTAGTATGAAATACCCATCCATACAATTGGGGTTAATAGTGACCATCCTTAGTGGTTAGAACAAAGCTTACAAAAGTGATTTTTTTAAAGATTATACTTCCCAGAATCATCCAGCTAGTAGCCATGTTGGCTGGACTGGAAAAGTTACCTTTCTGGACTATAACTTCCAGAAACCCATATTGTAGTAATGATTTAGGGGAGGGGTTTGCATTAAAAAGTGACTTTTCCAATCTCTGGTAACTCATCCTGTGGCATTTACCTTTTCCTTAATGGTATCACTGAAGTCACCAAGGATTCCTCTGCTTCATATTCAGCATTCTGAATATGCGTGAGGCTGTGTGATTCTGTCAATTCACTATCGGGTACAAAATTGTGCTATTAAAACCTGTACATTTGTTGGAGATCACAGCTGGATGTTTGTAAAGAGTTAATTTTTTTAAAAAAATCTCCTCTCTGTATCTTACAGGGATGTCAAAAGGAATAAAAAACATTCCCACCACGTCCCAGTCCTCAGCACTTTAATACTAAGAAATACAATCTGAGGTTCAGACAGATAAACTGTATACAGTATAATGCATCAAAGAGTGTTGTCAAGAAACTGGAAAACAGAGTACTGTATTATGGTTTCAGTTGCCCTTTTGAAATACAGGGCTGTCAGCTTGTGCCTGGGATGAGCAGGCCTGGAGAGGGCAGAGAAAAGTGTTCATTAATTGGGAGGCCATACCATCTGGCCTAACCACTGTGAGAATGAATCTCCTAGGCTCTCACTCACTGCTTGGCACAGAGCTCATTAGCAAAGAATGGTTTAAGCTGAAGAGAAGGGAGGGGGGAAAGAAGTTACTTTGGGGGATTGACTTATTTCCTCAAGAAGAGTCGGGGAATCTGATGCCTGATTAGAGCATCCTCTCGAAAAGTCTAGAAGGTGGAATGATGGGTACAAAAGTGAGGGAAATTACTTAGTTTTAGCTTTGTCTAGTATCTCTAAGGAGACTGCTATGATCATCTGTTGCTTTGCTGCCTGACTCTGTGTATCTCTGGAACCATGCTGACATTCTCCTACTATGCAATTATTAGTTTAAAGCGTGCAAAATGTGCTGCTTATATACCACCCCATAGTGCTTCAAGCACTCTCTGGGCGGTTTACAAGTTAATTATGCAGGCTACACATTACTGTAGCTGTATTATTTTCTTGTAGGAACTCTTCCAGAAGTATTCTTGGCCCAAGCCTTTCTGAATCCTTATTTGCTCCACAGTTTTTTTATTAATTGGTTGGAAACTTTACTTTTTTGCCTTTTCTTTCAATGTTTTTAATAAAATATATAATTTTACAACAGCTTGGTTATTTTTGTGAAAGGGAGGTTTGGTACTAAGGAAGGCCTTGCTTTGATCACCTACTGTTTAGGCATCCTTCGGTCTCAAGTGTGACATGCTCTGTATGGAGGAATTAGAATAACGTCTAGTATGGCTAAGAAGGCTGATTCGGGAGTGACAATCTTCCACATTCAGCAGACAAGTACAATCTGTTCCCTGTTAGTGGCTAGGGACTGCCCAACTTAAGGCCACAAGGCAGTGGAGGTTTGAAACTGGAGTTTTCCTTCTCCTAGATGTGCTGCCTTCCAAGGCTGATGAGTCCTACCTACCCCACTCACCTACTGTATGCTTTTATATTTTGTGGGTATTTTGACATTCCTACCCTATAAGTTGGCCTAAAGGTCAAAAGTACTTAAAATTCTTGATTTTTTGTAACTTCCTGGAGCACTGAATCATCAGAGTGATTCAAGGTATTGGGAAAGGTACCAGGCAGGAAGATTATCCCCAACTATCAGCACATCGGGGCCTCCTGGAGCTTACCCAAATCAGAAAAGTCTGGACAGTGTGTCTTGAGTAGTTAGTGTGGGCCTTTCTGACTCAGCCATAATCTTGACAGATGTCTTTTGCCTCTTTTCAGAAGCTTTCCTGCATTTATCTGAACAGGTATTTATTTGGCTTCAAGCTCAACAGTAAAAAGCCAGTCTCCTCAGTATTTTCATGTTATTGTATGACATAGGTTCTTACATCCTTTACAGCAGTGGTCCCCAACCTTTTCCGAACCATGGACTGGTTTGGGAGGTGGGGTTCGTACACGGGGGAGGGCGTGCGTGCGTGCATGCAGGGGGCAAATGTTTCCACAGCCCAGTCCTACGAAGGCCACAGACTGGCAGCAGGGACCTCTGCTTTACTGCACAAGCTTCAGCTATCACCCCACTGTTAAATACTGACTTTCTTACTAATCAACCACAATCTCTGTATCTTGATGCCATGTACAAATATTTGCCAGGTTTTATCTCTCCCTTATGGCTGAGAAAGTGGATTTGTCCGTGAAAGTTCAAATTAGAATGTAAGTCTTTAAGGTGCCACCACTTTTGTGTCTTTTTAAATTTGTTCTTTTATTATTTTGTTTTTAACCAATAACGTCCGAACTTGTGAACAGTAATAAGAATTTCTTTCTTACAGGGTGAGCATCCACTGCAACATCCTGTTGCAGGTTCCACGTGTAGCAGCAATAAGTAGTGAGAATAGCAACGCATATAATATTGTTTCCTTTCAACCAATTATAAATGCGAGCCTTAATCACATAAAAATCATTGCATTGCTTTGGAGATCTGAATTATTTTTTCTTCTCAGAAATCTAGTCGTGCTAGCACAACGTAACTTGAGAGCGCTGTTCTTAACAGGCAGGAGAACCAGTCGTCGGGACGATGGGACTTGTCCTCCAAAACCATATAGTGGGGCACTTGCTCTCTTCCCTTGCCACGGAAGCCGCCAGGTGGGAGCGGGACCGGTGGGTGTAAACTATCGAATTCATTCAGTCGTGGCACATCACCGTCAATGCCCAAAATAGCCACAGCCTTCCGGCTGCGACAAGCCCACACATGCACTATTAATGGGGGGGGGAGAAATCCTCCCGCGAGCCCAACAGGGTCGGCGCGAACCAATGACGACAGAGGCAGACGCGTTTAAACAAAAAAAATTTATTAAGGAGGAGGAGCAGCAGAGGTTGATCACGTGGAACGTGAACCCTGCCTAGAGATTTAGAGCCGCGCGCCCGGTAGGCGGGTCTTTCATTTCAAGCAGCCAATGACCGATAAGGATACCTTACGGTGAATGGACTGGAAGGGGGTTGGCTATTGGAAGGCTGTTCGGGAAGCACGCTGTCCGCGCGCACTCTTCCTTTTTAACTCTTTAAGTGGCACACCGGTTAGCTTCTTCGTTCGCGGCCTTTCCCCCCCCCACACGGGCTGTTGTGCGCGTGCGCGTTACTGCGACGCTCCTTCTGCCTTTTTTTGCCTGTGCCGCCGAAGGTAAGTCGTCGCCTGGTTGCGGGCGCGTGAGGCGCCGGGCGCCTTCTTCGTGCCAGCCGTTGAAGGGAAGCCCAGTGAGCGGCGTGGGGAGGTGGCGGGCTGAGGGAATGGCCTTGTGGCGAGGAGAACGGTGTTTGTGTGTGGGGGTTCCTCCCTCGCCGTCCAGGGAGCTGGAAGAGCCGGGCCGGCCGAGACCGGCTTTTGAGGGCTTCAGGCGCCCCTTCTCCGGCCCTCTCCTCAGCCTCCTTGCCGCCTTTTCGACAAGGCCCAAGCGGGGGCTGGCCGAAACCCAGTTCCCCTCAGGAGGGGCGCGTCCCTTGGCTGGCTGGGGGAAGAAGGGAAAGGAAGAAAGAGGTTGAGCGCCGCCGGAATCCGTCTTTCTTCCAAGGAGCTCGAGGCGGCATAGGCGGCAACGGGATGGGGGTGTCCGTCCATGAGGTCTCTCATTCAGTCCCAATGGAGAAACTCCTGCTCGCTTTACTTCCGCATCGTGGTTTTTTATCAAGGGGCATCAAACGGATTCCCGAGGAAAGACGAGACGAGATTTCCCCCTGCTCTCCTTTTCATGGGTTTTAGAAAATAAGGGACAACCCCCTCCCCTTTTTTCACCCCCGATTCTTTTCCCTATTACTGGTACGTGTCTCTGGGCAGCCCTGTGCCATCTGTAACGTTTGTCTAATTCCCAAGACAGCTAAAATATAAAAGCCTAGATCCAGTCCCTTGAATCAATTGTTGAATGGCGAGTCCCCACTTATGGAGATCGTGTTGGTTCAATAGGTCTGCTGTAGCAGGGGTTACCAAGTGGATTCAGCCCAATTAAGTTCCTCCTTTAAAAAAAAGAACAACTTTATTTTATATTTTAAAATAAGCAATATATAGCAAACTGATAGTGTTTTAACTGAATGTAGGAATATAATCTCGAAGGTTTTCACGGCCGGGATCCGATGGTTGTTGTAGGTTTTTCAGGCTGTTTGGCCGAAAAACCTTTGGAACACGATCAAACAGCCCAAAAAAACCTACAACAACCATGGATATAGGAACTTTGTATAATCACACAGAAAGTAACACTGTACATAATATAATTATCAATATTGTATTAGTTCAAGAGATTTTTCCATAAGGCCACTTGATTTCTCAGTTGCTGTGGTTCTGAAATGGTCATGTTTGTGTGGCTTATCAAAGGAAACCATATTTGATTAAGCCACCATGAGTGGTTTCTCATAATATTGTATAGCATATAAAGTACAGTAGGTCTTGGTTTAGGTTCTGTGTAATTTGGATGGCTGACATGTACTGGTCTGCCTTATTCACTCCTCCTTCCCAACAATAGAGAAACCTGAACTTGGGGCAATTTCCGACCTGTGTTTAGTCGTTTAGTCGTGTCCGACTCTTCGTGACCCCATGGACCAGAGCACGCCAGGCCCTCCTGTCTTCTACTGCCTCCCGGAGTTGTGTCTGGTTCATGTTGGTTGCTTCGCAGACACTGTCCAGCCATCTCATCCTCGGTCGTCCCCTTCTCCTCTTGCCATCACACCTTCCTAACATCAAGGTTTTTTCCAAGGACTCTTTTCTTCTCATGAGATGGCCAAAGTACTGGAGCCTCAGCTTCAGGATCTGTCCTTCCAGTGAGCACTCAGGGTTGATTTCCTTTAGAACTGATAGGTTTGTTCTCCTTGCAGTCCAGGGGATTCTCAAGAGCCTCCTCCAGCACCACAATTCAAAGGCATCAATTCTTCGGCGGTCTGCTTTCTTTATGGTCCAGCTCTCACTTACATACATCATGACAGGAAAAACCACAGCTTTGACTATTCGGACTTTTGTTGGCAAGGTGATGTCTCTGCTTTTCAAGATGCGGTCAAGATTTGTCATCGCTTTCCTCCCAAGAAGAAGGCGCCTTTTAATTTCAGGGCTGCTGTCTCCATCTGCAGTGATCATTGTTTCCATGAAAAGTACCTGTGACAGAGGTAGCCTTGAGAGAAAGCTTTCTGAGCATCTTAACATCTGAGCAGGCTCATAAAAAGATACGCAGTTCTTTCTTGTAGCCCCTGTCGCCTGCTGCTTTCCTTCCTTCTCCCTCTCTCCCTGACTGGGTTGAGATATATTGCATTAACCACAACATAGAATTTGTGTTTATTAAAAATAATGATATTTTACTCTTTTTTTTTACTAGCGGCAACACATACCAAGGTCAAGGAAATTTATGTTTATATGCAGAATGTCTTGTAAAATCTGTTTGGGTAAAATACAGTGGAACCTTGACTTATGAATGTCCCTACCTACAAACATTTCAACTTACGAACTGCACTGTTCGCAAAATTTTGCTTTGACTTGTGAACGGAGTTTCGATTTACGAATGTAAAAAAAAGTATTCTGTTTAAAAGGTGTGCTCCTGGCCTTTTTTTAAGCTAAAAGGTGCTTGGTTTTGTTTAAAAGGTGCTTGGGTTAAAAGGTGTTCTGTTTAGAAGGTGTTCCCTCCCCCGCTCCTTTCTTGCCCTTTTTTTGACCTAAATTCATCTTAGGTCAAAAGAAGAAAAATTCTCCCCCTAGTGGCGGAGTATGGATTAACCAGCTTTGCATTAGTTCCTATGGGAATTAATGCTTCTAATTGCAAACACCACCTCTAGATAAGAACGAAAAACAGCCGGAATGGATTAAATGTTTCCAATGCATTCCTATGGAAAATTTTGCTTCGACTTACGAACATTTCAATGCACGAACACTGTTCCAATATGGATTAAGTTCATAAATTGAGGTTCCACTCTACTGTATTTGTGTTACATAGTTATGTAAAATCTGTAAAGTACCTGACTACTATAATTTATAATATGTGCTAGAACATATTTCATGCTATGGCTGATGAAGTTGATTTCACCACTGGAGATGCTGGTGCTTCTGCCACCTACCCAATGCAGTGTTCTGCACTCCGCAAGAATGGCTTTGTGGTGTTGAAGGGGCGCCCCTGCAAGATTGTGGAAATGTCTACTTCCAAAACTGGCAAGCACGGCCATGCAAAGGTATTCCTCTTTTCTCCCTCCATTACTCAAATGTTGCCTTTCTATGAGTGCTGTTTCATTAATGCTAAACGTAGGTGTTGGTTCCATTAGGTGTAGAGTCAGTCTTACATGATTTGGCACTGCTTGTACTTTCCTTGCATTGTAGTCCTGTTAGTCTGTTCTCATGCACTGTTTCTGTTTATGGTGTGTCCTTCTGCTTGAGGCAAATGCTCTAGTTTAGAACACCTCTCCCTCACCCTACTCTCCAAGGTAATGATGCTTCTCTGCTTAATTTCATCTCACCAAATTCATTCTGAGAAGGTGGTAACTCAGAAATAGGAGATTTGGATGAGGATTAGACATGGGGAATTCATCTTCATCTCCCAAGAAAGATGAAGATGAATCTTGTTGGCACAGGTGGCTGGCCCGATTAACACCCGCCCCAGAGCCCACCAGTCCACTTACCTCACGGCCCATATGTCCAGCATCATTGACAGTGTGCAGTTGTGGCAATATCCCAGGTAGTGCCGGCCCACCTCCCTGCTCGGATGGCTACTCTGTCAAGGGAGCAGGATGATGAGTCTCCCTGCTCAGCCACTGAGTGGCCATCTGAGCAAGGAGATGGGGCAGTGCCAGCTGGGCTACTGCTGTGATTGCGCACAGTCAATGATGCTGGCTGTGCAATAAGTGGACTGTTGGGTTCTGGGGGGGGTGTGTTAACTGGGCCGGCCACTTGTGCTGGCGAGATTCATCTTCATCTCCCCTTAGAGACGAAGAAGAATCTCCCATGTCCAATGAGGACAGTTCACATTTCACTTCAAAAGTTGTGTCTTTGCACATTTATCTCATCTAGATAGATAGGCAATGCAGTTTAGTTTTATGTTGCTGCCTAACTAAGTCTGACTCCAGATGCAGTACAATGCTGCCCCGCTTGATGCTTACCCCGCATGACGTCGAAATCGCTTAACGATGGCTTTTTTGCGACCACAAATTGATGGTTCCAGTGGGTTTTTTTCGCTTGACGTCGATTAGGAGCCTGCTTCGCGAACCTTTTTTTTTTTTCTAAACGACGATTTTTTCGGCTCCACAAAATGGCTTCCCTTCGTAAAATGGCTTCCCTCCCTTATCAAAATGGCTGCTTTCCGGACCACTGCTTCAGAAGACAGCGTTTTTAAACAGCTGATCGGCAGTTCTCTATGGGCAATCTGCTGGACGATGAGATATTTCCCCATTGTAACACATTGACCAGTTTTCAATGCATTCCAATGGGGTTATTTTTTCGCTTGACAACGGTTTTGCTTAACAGCGATTTTTCTGGAACAGATTATCGTCGGCAAGCGGGGCACCACTGTATTCCCTTCAGTTCTTACGGCACCTTGGAGACTAAAAAAGTTTTATTTAACATACGTTTTCAATGTGTCTTTGTATATTGGCATAAGACTCTACATTGGTTTTTTTCTAACAGACTAAAATAGCCACCTTCTGAAAATGGTAATCAGTGGTAGACTAATTTTTACTATCAGTCTGGTCTTATGGACATGGTTGGTTTTTCACAGTAATTCTCTGCCACTGAAATTGCAACAGTAGCATGTTTTACTGGAAGGCTTAAGATACATTTTATTAGTACTAATCTGGATTGGGTGAAATGGTTAAATAAAGTAAATTACTGTATTTTTCTGTGAATAAGACACCCTCATGTATAAAATGTCCCCCCCCCTTTTCTAACCCAAAATTTCTTTCTTTTCAAACAGCTGCTTTTCTCTTTGCAAAAAGTGGAAGGGAAAGCAGTTTTTTTTGCAAAGAAATGAGGGGAAAGCACTTCCCCCACAAAAAATTGAGGGGAAAGCGATTCCTCCCCCCTCCTTACTTCCATGTATAAAACAACCCTCAATTTTTCCTCTAATTATTTTAAGAAAAGGTGTCGTTTTATACATGGAAAAATACAGTATTACTTTTTCTTAATCCAGCACTTGCTCGAGTTTTAGTCTTCTAGTGGAAGTTTGTTAACTGCTACTAATGACTCCCCCCAAATACAATTTAAACAAAAATAAAGTAACAGAACAGAGGTAAAATTTCCTTTTACATAATATTCTTGGCAAACTAAACATGTAACTAAATATTCCTCTAGGTCCACTTAGTCGGTATTGATGTGTTCACTGGTAAAAAATATGAAGATATCTGCCCTTCTACTCATAACATGGATGTGCCAAATATCAAGAGAAATGACTATCAAGTAAGTATAGAATTTGAGTGCCCATCTGGTTTAGGGAACCTAAACCATTTGATATTTGACTCTAAAGCTCGATGACCATGGCCATTGGACATCCTGCTAGGGCTTATAGAAGTGCAGTTTACCAATATCTGGAAGGTTGCCAGCTACTACAATTGACAAGAAATCTTACCTAAATTGTGATCTTCAAATGTGGCCATTTTGCTAGTGTTAGGAGCCTCTTATTCAAAGTCTCATCTCAATGTTTGTTTTATTTAAACTCTGCCTTTCTTCCAAAAATGGGATTCAGGGCACCTAATGATAAAGAATTAATAAAAACAATTCCGATTCATTCATAAATCGTTGTTTAGTTGTGTCCGACTTTTGGACCAGAGCACTCCAGGCCCTGCTATCTTCCACTGACTCCCGGAGTTGGGTCAAATTCATGTTGGTTTACTCGATGACATTGTCCAACTATCTCATCCTCTGTCATCCCCTTCTCCTCTTGCCTTTACACTTTCCTAACATCAAGGTTTTTTCCAAGGAGTCTTCTCTTCTCATGATATGGCCAAAGTATTGGAGCCTCAGCTTCAGGATCTGCATTCATAAATAGAACAGGCTAAAAGTAAACAAAATATATCAAAAGAAGAAAAATTCTCCTGTATCAAACCCTTTTCTGTAGCGATCCATCTTAAACTGCCAAAGGTCTGTCCAATACCTGCTGGTGGGAGGATAATAGGGCCAGGCTAGCCCCATTCAGTAAGACATTCTGTAGCTGGGGTGACTGAAAGACAAGAGTTCTTTAAAGATTTCAGAGCAAGGATATATATATAATTGCGGGTTTTTTAATTTCTATTCTGTTTCCTAAAAAAAGAATCCAAAGTGGTTGTATTGGAAATATTGTCCCTCAGGCCCAAATTGTATAAAGCTTTTTTTCTGTCAAAGTTGTTGCTTCAAATTTTCCTTAGAAGCAGATCATCAGCCAGTGAATTCCATTCCTCTGTCTCATTGCATCAAGTGTGTTGTGTGGGCTAATGGATTTATAATTATGCCAATGTAATATTTCAATATAAACTTGATCCTGAGCACTGTAGGATCAGGTGCTTGTGAGAAGGGAAACTAACAAAAACTATATCCAGGGGAAAAGTAAAATGGAATATGAGAAATATATTGGTGGAAGGGAGACACTGCCTACAAATTTAAAATATTCGTAAACGTGTATTGTTAAGCACTGTATTTATACATTCTGTCTGATTACAGTACTTTACTGTAAAACACTAAATGATTGTACATGGTCTGTTTGCAGTGACCAAAAGTCTTTGCGTAAATTATGCCATGATAATATAAATAATATCAACTGTGGGTTCTGATAGCAATTTTTAGAGTATATATTTTAATTGCTTTATTTTTAGTGGGCGGCACATAAGATAGATAGATAGTGGGTGGGTGAGTGAGTGAGTGAGTGTGTGTGTGTGTGGATGATTGAAGCAGGAACTCTTTAGTTACCAGCAGTCTAAATAAAAACTGTCTTAAAAATTTTCTGCAGCTGATCTGTATACAGGATGGCTACCTCTCTTTGCTCACAGAAAGTGGTGAAGTTCGAGAGGATTTGAAGGTGCCAGAAGGTGAATTGGGCAAAGAAATAGAGGGAAAATACAACGCAGGTGAAGACTTCCAGGTAAAATTTTAGTGGATGGAATATGGTGACAATATTGGTTTTGTGCCGATTCAAGATATCTTGATAGGGTTTTCCATTGCTTTTCAGAATCATGTTATGAAACTTGCATTATCTTACAAAGCTTTTAAAATGAGGATTGATGAAGACAGGTGAAAGAAATATAAAGGGACTGTTTCAATGCAAGCCCTATTATCCTCTCTATGAAATGGGGATGTGTCCTTAGATTCTTTCATTCCTGTGTTCATCATATTCTGCAAGCAGCCAGGGGGAAATGAATAGCTGCATTCGTTTAATGTTTTGTAGCTTAGTCATAAGTTGCAGGTATATCTGGAAAAACTTTGGATACTGCTTCTCTACCTTACAGTTGCCCAAGAAGATGTGGACCTGGCCTCTCAAGGCTGTTCTTGTAACATCTGTTGTTAGAGAATAAGGATACCTGATGCAGTCTTAGACTACTGCTTTAAAAATTCAGTATTCAGATTGACTTAGAGTGGTAATGTTATGATATTTAGGTGCCACTGAAATGGCAATACTAAATTATTCAGATAAACAATTAGATCTGTGTTTTGCATTAGTTTTTAGCTTTGTAATACAGTATTACTAGGAAGTGCTATGTGGAATTCATGCTCCTATTATCTTAGACAGTAGGGTTTTTTTTTATTACAAGCTGCTTTTGCTGTTTTCTGTTTGCTGTTAAAGGAGGTTTAAAACAAATACTGGTTTCAGAATTCAAGTAGCTCTGAGCTACTGCCATAACCTAACAATATTGCTTCTTTCTCCTGTAGGTGTCCGTAATGTGTGCAATGAGTGAAGAATGTGCTGTGGCCATAAAGCCTTGCAAATAGGACCATCTAGACTTGAGCAGCTGCTTGGGTCCCAGCAATCACGGATCTTATATTTTAGTTCTGATTATCACCAAAGCTACAACCTTCACTAGCAACCTCGTGTCTTTGTTTGAAAATTAGCGCTGGACTAATGTTGCAAGCCATTTGGCGATACTAGAATTGCTGAAGCTCAAGTGCTGACAGGAATGGCAAGGCAGTCAAAACTGTCATTTTTAGATGGTGAGGTATTAAAAACTAGTATGCTTTGCTCAACTGAGGCTATATAGCAGTGCCAATACCAAGATAGAACTAAGTTTGGGTTTAAATAAGAATAGTGTGTAAGTACAACATTTTAAACAAATGAAAAGAACCATTTTATCTTAAATATGGTGTAATGTGGCTTGACTAACTTGCATATAGCCATTAAGTTAGGGGGAAGGGAACTCATGGAGTCAAAGTTTTGCCAGTATAATGACTATGTACAACAAAACTGTACATCTCTGCAGTCTTACTGGCGTACTCTTAATGTGTCACCATTTGCCTGTGATGCAAACATCCAGAATATTGGGTGCTTTCATATTCTGGTTAATAGTGCTCAAATTTCTGATGGGGAAAGGGTGGGTGGGAAATTCACTAGAGGCCTTTGATTTCAACATGGAGTCCAGCTATTCTTTAGTTTAAAAGAAGGGCATGCCTCAAGTGTTTCAGTGTTAAGTATACCTGTTGAGGATTTTATCTCTTTAGTTTTGTAGCACAAGTAGACCTTTGTTTCTTTATCGAAATTTGAGCAAAAATGCACATGCTGGGAGTCCTTAGAGAGGCTAAATTTGAATGCTGTTTCACTCTACTGGGTTTAGGCCATGAGTTGTTTTTGTAAAGAACTATAGCAGAGTGCTCTGTCAAATGCATAGAGTTACTCTGACTCAAAATCCTCTCATGCACGACTTTATTGTAGAGAACAGGTAAATGCCTAATCACTCATAGATGTACTGTCTGCATGATCTTCCACTTGCAAGCTCATACTTCTGCTTAATTAGCATTTGGGGGGACCTAATTACTTAAATTTGCCTTAAATGGTAGCAACTGAAAAACTTGAACTAGTTGACTGGTTTATTAAAATGCATAGTTCACTATTGGCAGTTCTTGTGGGTCAAAGAAGAGGGTTTCTTAGTTTCAGTTAGGAGTATGGTTGCCCATGGTCAATGACATTAGACTAAAGGTATAAATATACTCCCATAAGGGTCTTTCAGTAGGCTCTAGATTTAATTGAGCAGTATCTATGCAGAGAAAGGGCACAAAACAGATTGGTTTGGCAATAAACACTCTTGAACAAAGCACAGACTTGGTATAACGATAAATAACTATATGTTTCAAGATTCAGGTCTACTAGAAAGCTAAAGTATTTTAGCATATTATTAAGTTACCAGTTGTGTGAGTGTTGCTGTATAGTTGATTGTCAGTATTCATGGTAGGGATGGGAGAACCAAATATGAAACATAGACTCTTTATCTAGTATTTTTAGTCATGGCCAAATGTTTTATAGCAGCTATTCACTGTGCCTAAGCAGTTCAGATAATTACTGTTGTCCCACTATCTGAAGCAATCTAGTAACATCTTACTGCTTGTGTAAGATGTATGTAGTTTGAATGCATTGGGGTAACTGGTTTATGGAAATAAAGGGATTCTATATTCCTTCAACTCCACCCTTTTTGGGAAAGGTGAAATCTTAATTTCATCTTGACCTTTAACAGCTTGGATCTACAAGATATCAAGGCTAGATGGGAAAGGTAGCATCTGCTAGGTAGGTCATATATAGGACGCCATTTGGTATACAGCTGTGCAATCTCATTATTTTATCATTAAAACTACAGTATTTACAATAAGACAGCAAGAAAGCCATTTCACTTTGTAGAGGACAGTCTGCTACGAATCCACTGGGTTTACAATAAACTTTGCTAATAAAAGACAAATGCTGTATCTTTCAGGTTCTTTAAGCTATTTCAGGGTAATCATGTTTCTCTAAATCCACTTTTCAAACACTTTCATTGTTGGGGGGAACAAATTACATTTAGTTTACAGGAACAGACTCAAACTCTTTGAACAAACTGTAGACTAAAATGAAGGATAAACTGCTTTATCCTGATCTTATTATGTAATGGTGCAAGATTTATTTTGGGTCCATGGATGTTTTTGTTCAGTGTGCTGTAGGGTTGTTTTTTTTTGTCTCAAATGTTAGAAATGTCTATTTTAAACACAAATATACCTGTTGATGTGTTGTCTTGTGTCTTTGTGTTCAACAAAACCACTGCTAGTTGAGCCATGACTTGAATATACTCTTCTCAGGGCTGCTCTTGTGAAGAATTAAAAGAGCTTGAGTTGATTATTTTAACAAAGCTGCTTGAAAGTCTTACAGGGTTTTGTATTCCATGGATTTATAGCATGCCTACGATGCAAGTAGAATTCTAGTATATTTGAATGTTAGTCTAAAGCAGTCAAACATTTTAACCAAGCTGCTTTTGTGACTAGTTGACATAATTTGACTGCAGTAAGCTTTAAATATTGGATCATCATGTATCTGAGGACTTTAATAAAACAAGCTGTGCATAAATGTTCCTTTCTGTGTAAAGTACAAGACTGTCAAACGTTATAATGAACCTGTTTCAACAGAATAATTCATACACTGATCTCTGTGGCTTTTTACTTACATTGTGATATCTAGGCTTTGTAGGAATCTGAATTCTCATCAGTGACTGTTCCATTGAAAACTGGACATGTTACTGTAAACAAACAAGGAACAGATTTTTGTATTTGTCACATGTGGATGTTCAGATACGTATGCAATTTACCTACTGGCTAGTAAATGGGTGCACTGCTCATTGAGTGACCTTGACTTTAAAAGAAAAACTTGAAAGGTTTGTACTTTTTTGCATTTCTGTAACAGTAAGGTATTCATGTGTTATAAAAGTTCTTGGCTTTTAACTTTTATTGAAATGTTGAGTTATGATCTGGGATATGGTAATGAGAATAAAGTCTAAACCTAAAGGCAACTTGTCTTGCTTTCTCTACTACCAGCTGTCGTTTCTCTGTTACCAGCTGTGCCTGGTCCTACAAATGTACACTAGTGCCAAATGTATACTAGTACTCCATATGTACCAAAAGGTTGCCACAGTAGTTCTCATTTAACTAACACACAAGCAAATATCTTCCTTGTCTTTTCACAAAATAATACTAAACAGCATTATGTAGGTGTAGAGAAAGTGACTGATCATACACACTTGTCAGATAAAAGCTTTTTTTAAAAAAGGACTGGAAACAGATTTTTCTTCACAACTTTCTGCCTGCTGTGTTGAAGGTAGTTTAGGATAATTAGTGTTGAAACCTGAGCAGCTTTTACAGACTTGTTACCTGAATATATTGAAAATGAGGGCCTGTGTCTAGGGTTGACTCAAGACTAACCCATTCTGGCCCGTAAAAGCTTACGCAACAGTGGTTTTGTTATCTTTGGTTATCACAATAGCACACTAATTGAGAATGATTTTTGGTATCAATGAGGCTGAAGAAGATACTACTGTATGTATATAGTAATAATTTCTGATCTTCTCCATTCTGTCAGTATTCAGAGTGATTTCCAATAATACCATAAACTATAAGATGCTGTTCTGTACCGAAAAGTAAAATGGGGAACTTTACAACCCAGAGACTGATCAAAATTTAGTGTAACAGTGCGGCTTTTATTAACTCCAAAGACTGCTAACCTCCCGGTGAGATCCCAAGTTGTAGCACAGCCGTATAAAAGACTCCCTTGGGTGATAAGAGACATAATAGAACTTTAGATGAAGCACATGAGCATTGGGCTGGTTCATATAGGTCAAGGCAATTTTTCCAGTGTTCATTAATTGTGTTTCTCTTCTACCAGACTTTGGATGTCATTATTTGCCTATTTTGACTTTGGATGTGGCAGTTCCCAATGTGATACATTCAAACCAGCCTCCAAGGTTTCCAATAAGTTTCTTCCCACACTATTTTTCCTGTTTTAACTTGAATTATCAACTGTAACAATCTTAATTTTTCTCATTACATGCCTGAGGAATTCTAGTTTTCTGCATTATGCATTCTATTATTTTGTCATATTCTCAATCCAAGAATTCAACAATTTTTTGATGGATTATTGTAATTCGTCAGACGATTTAACACAACATGGCACAAATAGATTTAAAAAACCTTTTTATCTCACTGTGTCAATCAGTTTATCAAGCAAGGTATTGGCACTGAAGTTTTATTTTATTAATATGCAATTTTCTTTTTGCATTTCTATTCATCCTGGCTCTACAGTTTTCAGTCATGCACCCTTTAGAGTTTCTCTTATACTAGGATTCAACAAGACTTTACGTGCCCACACATGCTTTAATAAAGCACATCAATAGCAGGATACCCTTTGTCAAGAGTTTAAATGATTTATATGCTGGTTCTTTTTGGATTCTTTTTCTTCATCCCTCATGCATATAAATATACTATATACAAACAAACCTGTGCACCATGCAATAAAATTGCTCCAAACGTTTTGGATTTTAAGAGTACTGATTCTGGTACATGAAACAGACTAATGTGCTATGAACCTTAAATTGGTAAGAATTGCAACTGGCCCTGCCCTACACCCGCTGTGGTAGTGTTCCTACCAAATTGGTAGTTGGCATCCAGGCATGAAAAAGTTCTCAGCCTGTGATTTAAAGGCACAGTAAACCTACCTAAACATTCTATTCGAATTAGAGAGGCAACACAAAGCTACTGTCCTTGGATTTTAATCGATAGAACAAACCTTTATTTTGGTGCATCTTCTGTCTCCTGAAGGTATTTGTTTTTGTCTGTCCTTTTGGCAGTCCCCTGTCTTTTCGCTATATTTTAAAACACATTCTTCTTCACTTCAGTTGTCCTACACATGGAGGAATTGGAAGAGGAAGAAAGAAATCTTTTTTTTTTAAGGTACAGAAAACCATTGAAACCAAAGCAGACGTTGTGTGGCTGTCGGGCTTCAAATATAAGAAGCTCCAGCTATTATGAGCAACAATAGTCAGCAGTTCGTGTAGTTACAACCTTGGATGCCTGTGAACCCAAAATTGGGAACCACTTAGATAGACTAAGAGGCACGTTTGTTATTGTGCCATCAAGTCATTTCTGACTTAAAGCAACCATAAAAGAATTGTAAAGGCATGGCAGATGTTGAAGACATAGTTTGCTATTGCTGCCCCCAAGGACTTTCCATGTTTGAATGGGAATTTGAACCCAGGACTCCTCCATCTTAATCTGACGGTCTACTATGATATCCTGGCTCGCATTTTTAAGATCACACGTTGATTATTAGATTGCAGTTGCTTAGGTTTACGGCCAGTTCCACCTTTATTTTTTAGGCCAATCAAAAGATTTTAAAAAGCATGTAGAGGGACACGGAATTGAGAAGCTACTCTTCATCTGGCAGATATAGAAAGTAAGCATGATAAAAGTTTTAAAAAAGGGGGGGAAGTGGCGGTTGTGGGAGAAACTGAGTGTTCATATCCTTGTTCTCTGCCTGTTGTTTCAGAAATGAATTGACTCCCTATAGGAAGCCATAGCCTTGGTTTGATAAGAGCTGAGCAAGGCAATCTTCTCAGCAGCAGTTTGAACACTGGAGGTTTCTTCGCATGCCTAAGAAAACTGGCAGGAAATAGTAACGGAAATCCGGATCGCGTGTAACTCTTTCCATTTCCTAGCTCTATCGTTGCTTCCTCCGGTTCACGCTGTACGTAATTGCGTCACAGCTGGATTGCTATAAAAGGAGGGCCGTGAGGGGGTTTCTGTCTTTCGCGAGGCCACGCCGTCATGGCGCCGGTGAGTCCTTTTGCTGGCGGGGAACGTGTGGTCAAAAAGCGGGCGGTCCTGGGAATTCAGCTTACTCTTTTCGGCCAAAAGTTTGGCTACCGTGGTTCTCTATAAAGCAGCGTCGCCTAGAAATCGGGGTGGCCTTTTCGGAGCCAGCCTCTCCCTCACTTCTCTTCGGAGGAAGCCCCATTGATTTCTCAGGGCTTTAATTCTTAGGAATTTCTGATCGAGCTAAATTCTTTGTTTTTGAAGGAATTTGTGTATTGGGTTCCTGGGTTTTATCCGTGTACGGATAAGGTAGGCTGAGCTTTCAGATCACGGCTGAAATGTTAGGGTAGGGAGTTTTGGAGGTGGGTCTTCCCAGAGGAAGGATCACATATATAGCGATTTAGGAAATAATATAGCCTCCTAGTAGTTGGTACATTGAACACACACAAGGGTCCTTTCCTGGCTTTTCAGTAGGGCTGACAAGTCCATAAACCCCAAAAAGCTTCCTGGTGCAGTGGTTAAACTGCAGTACTTCAGTCAAGACTCAGCTCATGACTTGAGTTTCATCTGAACCGGTTCAGGTAACAGGCTCAAGGTTGACTTAGCCTTCTGAGGTTGGTAAAATGAGTACCTACTCCTGTCCTCGGAAGATGCCGGCCACAGAGACTGGCGAAACATTAGGAAGAAAAACCTTCAGAACACGGCCAAAGAGCCTGAAAAACCCACAATAACCATTAGATCCCAGCTGTGAAAGCCTTTGTGAATATGTAAAACATGTTAGTTTTTTTAATGCCACAGCGTTCTTCATAGAATCATGTAATAACAGTTGGAAGGGACATGTTAGTCTGCAGAACTCCTTGCCACAGGATGTAGTGCTGACGTCTGACTTAGAAACCTTTAAAATGGGATTGGACAGAACTCTGGAGGAAAAGTCCATTGCAAGTTACAAGCCATGATGGGGATGTATAATCTCCAGGCTTAAAAGGAAGGTACTCCAAAATACCAGATGCAGGGGACGGGTATCAGGAGACAGGTATCTGGCTGTCTTGTGTGCTCCCAGAGCTATCTGGTGCCAAGGCCACTGTGAGATACAGGAATCGGGACTAGATCCAACAGGGCAGTTCTTATGACACATAAAGCCATTGAGTCCAACCCCCCTGCTCAAATGCAGAAATCCAAGTTAAAGTGTTTCAGACAGAATGTTTCTAACACTGGAGCTCATGATCTTCTGAAATAGTTGGTTCCATTTCCTTGTTTTGTAGCAACAGGTCAACAGGACTGCTCCTTCACAGGTATAGTTACAAAGAAAATTATGTTTGTTTGGACAGATGATCATATACTTATTTGCTACATTTTTTGGCTGTATTAAGCTTGAGATAATATTTATGGCTCTCTTAATCCTCACAATAACCCTGTGAGTTAAGTCTGTCTGAGAGAGAATGAGTGAACCACATCGACATTTCTCAGGCTGATATGTCATCCATCAGACAAGAATGAGCAGGCAGATTCCTTGGTACATGTTTGTATTATGTTTGCAAGCTAGTTTATTCTGCTTTATATTGCTTTTTTCTGTCTCTTCAACCCATTTTGACAGACCATTGTAAATCCCTCAAATGTACTTTGCATGCCTGTAGCAAGGGAACTGGTGGCTGTCATCTTGGTTAGCACAGGGATACAGTGAACCACTTTGCCAAAGCAGAAGTGGGGAGCATGAAGCTTTCCTAGTGATGAATTGTGAGACTCATCATCCCTAAGAATTCTCAGGGCTGGCTATCGCTACTATTAGTGTCTGCTCAACAGTGTCTGGAAGGCTACATATTCTTCACCCTTATGGAATAAGAAGATGCCTCTCAAGTCCCAAATTGATTTCAACCACTTAATACTAGTACTCTGGAGGGTTTCCTGTCTTTATTGGATCTGGCTAAGTCCTGAGTTGTTTTAATTCAAGGAAAGACTCCTGTGAGTGGTATAGGGCTATGCATACTTGACATGGTTGATCAAATTCCCAACCTCTGCAACCACATGCCTCAATCACTGAAGTACAGGGGCTGGACTCCAGCCATAGGGTCCCTTATAGTTCTGCACTTCTAAGATGGTAATTATGATAATCATAATCTGTCCTAATCAGCTGCTTTGTCTTTCCAAACTGGCTTTGTTATTTAGTACTGTGGCAACAATAGTGGTAAGTTAGCATTTTTCATGTCGGATTGGCAGTACTGTACTCAGGTGGACCAGTTATTTCACTCAACACAAGTCAGTTTTGTACTGTGAAAGCAAAATTAGTGATAATTATGTGTGGAGTGTGCTGTAGTGGAAGTAGGGAAAGGGTCTTGATAGTGGGCATCTGGTGTTCAATTTCTGTGTTTTACATGATGTAGGTGGTAGTTTTGTAAAATAAAACTTACAACAAGCTCAGTTGAATGGAGAATCCATAAGTGTTTGTTCTGACTATCTAGGCTCAATTGTCCTTAAATGAAGATCACAAATATATTTGGTTTTCTTTCAGCAAAAAGACAAGAAGCTGAAAAAGTCAGCTTGTAAATACAGCCTTGATCTCACCCATCCTGTAGAAGATGGAATCTTTGATTCAGGAAATTTTGTAAGTACTTTTGTCATTTATTGTTCTCTGATCTGGTTATAATGATGAAAATGGCAGTATGTACTGAACTTTGACACAGATGACACATTTCAATCCTTCAGGTTTCTTTTAATAGGAAGAAAATATTTGTGAGTTTTTAATTAAATGTTACGTTATTTAACCAAACTAACCTATGAATAGGACCAAAATTGTAAATTCTTGACTCATTAACTCAGTCTAGCCTCTACTTTTGTAATTAACCTTATTTTATTAATAAAATAAGAGAGAATAAGGTTACTGATTCCTAGGCTACTGATTCTCCTACATTGGCCAGATTCATTCCCTACCAAATGACTGCATAGTTCCTTAATGTTTTCTTTACATCAAGGGCTGGTTAGAATCCTTTTGGTTTTAATGTTCACAAGCAAAATGATGAAAACACAACAGTTAACTAAAGCAAACCAAGTTGCAAGGTCCTGTGATGAGACGTGTGAGCAGGACTTTGTTAACTTGCTACTGTGACTACCATGTTTTTGCTTTTGCATGCATAAAAAAACCCAACAGGATTTTGACCTATGTATTGAGATTTACAGTAGGATCAACATTTTATTGACAAGAATATTGTGTCTTGCTCAGCTACAATTAATTTCTTGTTCTGTTTGCATGATTTCATTACTTTATGTCACTGTAATAACAAGGATTATCTGGCTAGGGTCCCTTCCCTAGTTCCATAGCTAGGGCAACATTCCCTAGTGTTGCATTTTTGTATTTTGTTGGATTAGGAACAATTCCTGAAAGAAAAAGTTAAAGTCAATGGAAAAACAGGAAACCTGGGAAATATAGTTCACATTGAACGTTTTAAGAACAAGATCACCGTGTCATCTGAAAGACAATTCTCAAAACGGTATGTGTGTTTTCTTTCATACAGTACTCTTTTTGATTTGTTTTTAGCTTCATTCTAAAGATGTACAGTAGGATGAGCAATAATAATTGAAATGTTTCAGAAATACTTTGGATCTGATGTTGGCTTTGCATTAGTGAAAAGTGCCATCTTCTGGTCTACTTAAGCCTGCATCACTTATGAATGATTCATCTGAAGTTGCAGGACTATGTGGGAAAGAATGGGATATGGCACAGAATATCAAGGAAAGATGCTAAGGGCAGCCTTTAGCTCTCTCCAGGTTGTGTTAAGAGTGCTGTGCCGATTGAGCCCTGGCTGTGCTGGATGGGGCTAATGGGAGTTAGAGTCCAAAACTATCTGATGGGTTCACAGCTTGCCTACTCTTTTGCTAAGGGAAGGCCATTCCCCAAATGCTACTGGGTAGTA